CTCACGTTTTGTGTTCTCACCACAATTAAAAATACTTTCTCATAAAATGTGGTACATACATACAACAAAATATTCTTTCACCTTAAAAAATGAAATTCTGATGAATGCTACAACATGGAGGAACCTTGAAGATGTTATGCTAAGTGACACAAGTCAGACACAAAAGAACAGATGTTGTGTGATTCCATTTGTATGATCCACCTAGAATTGTCAATTTTTACAGACAGAATGGCAGAATAGTGTTTACCAGGGGCTGGGGCAAGGGAGGAATACGGAATAGTTAGTTACTTTTTAGTCGGCACAGAGTTTCAGTTTGAGATGATGAAACAGTTTGGGAGATGTGTAGTAGTGAATGTTGCACAGCATTGTGAGTGTATTTAATACCACTGAACTTGACAAATGGTTAACATGGTAAATTTCATGTTATGGCATACCTTACCACAATAATGTTTAGATTAAAAATACTAGCGAACTGAATTCAATAATACATAAAGACGATTATCCATTACCAAACAGAATTTATCCAAGGAGTTATACATTGTTTTTATATCTGAAAATTACTTAATAATGATAATTAGAACAATGGGGGAAAAAACTCACAAGGATTATCTCAGCAGATCCAGAAAAAGCATTTTGTAAAATCTAAAACTCTTTTATAACACTCAGTAATTCAGGAATAGATGAGTACTTCCTCAGTCTGAAAAAAATGATCTACAGAAACCCCACAGTAAGCATCATACTTAATGGTGAAAAACTTAGTACTTTTCCTCCAACATTAGGAACAAGACATGGATATTCATTTTTACCACTTTTATTTAACATCATATTTGGACGTTCTAGCTAAGGTCATTGGGCAAGAAAATGAAATAACACGCAGCCAGACGGGAGAGAAAGAATTAAAATTACTTCTATTCACAGATGATGTGATCTTTTTTCACTTAATTGAGATATGATTGTGAAATAAAGTTTTGCATATTCAAGGTGTACTAGCTGTTGTTTTGATATGTGTATGTGTTGTGAAATGTTTACCACAATCAAGCTTATTAACATGCTCATCATCTCACACAATTTTTATTTTGTGGTGAGAATACTTAAGATCTACTATCTGAGAAAATTTTGAGTATACTATAGATTATTATGAACTATAGTCACCATGCTGTACATTAGGTCTCCAGAACTTACTCACCTTATAACTGCAAATTTGTACTCTTTGACCAACATCTTCCCATTTCCCCCAACCCCGCCACCAACCCCTGGTAACCACCCTTCTCTCTATTTCTATGAGTTCATTTTTTCAGATTCCACATATAAGTGAGATCATGCAGTATTTGTCTTTTAGTGTCTGGATTATTTCACATAGCATAATGTGTTTCAGGTTCATCCATGTTGTCACAAAAAACAGACTTCCTTCTTTCATAGGCTGAGTAATATTCCATGTGTATAAACACCACATTTTCTTTATTCTTTTGCTGATGGACACTTACGTTGTTTCTATATTTTGTCTATCATGAATAATGCTGCAATTAACATGGCACTGTAGATGCCTCCTCCAGATAGTGATTTTCGTTCCTTTGGATATATTCTCAGAAGTGAGACTTCTGGATTATATGGTAGTTCTATTTTTAATTTTTTCAGAAAACTACATACTGTTTTCCATAATGGTTGCCACCCATTTTCATTCTTACCAACAATGTGTAAGGATTCTCTTTTATCCACATCCTTGCCAACATTTGCTATCATTTCCCTTTTTGATAATAGACATCCTAAAGGTGTGAGGTGTTATCTCATTGTGAATTTGACTTGCATCTCCCTGATGCTGATGATTAGTGATGTTGAGCACCTTTACATGTACTTGTTGGTGATTTATAAATCTTCCTTGGAAAAATGTCCATTTAGGTCTTTTGCCAATTTTTAATTCAGGTTGTTTTGTTTTTGTTTTTGTTTTTGTTTTAATGCCATTGAATTTTGTGAGTTCCTTATGTATTTTGGATTTTAACCCCTTAGTGGATATGTTTTCCAATTTTTTTTCATTCCTTAGGTTGCCTGTTCATTCTTTGATTTTATGCTGCTTAGAAACTTATTAATGTGAAGTATTCCCACTTGTTTATTTTTGCTTTTATTGTCTGTGCTTTAGGTGTCATGTTCGTGAAATCATTACCAAGACCAAAGCAACTTTCCCTCTATGTTTTCTTCTGAGAGTTTTATGGATTCATGTCTTATGTTTAAACCTTTAATCTATTTTGAGTTGATTTTTCTGTATGGTGTAACATAAGCATCCAAGTTTTTTTTTTTTTGTTGTTGTTGTTGTTGTTTGCATTCAGATATCCAGTTTTCCCAACACCATTTATTGGAGAGGCTATCCTTTTTCTGTTGTGTATCTTTTGTGCCTTTATTGAAGATTAGTTGACCATATATGCCTAGGTTTTTTTTCCTGAGCTGTCTATTCTGTTCCACTGGTCTATGTGTCTGTTTCTATGCCACTATCAAACTGTTTTGATTACTATAGCTTTGTAATAACATGATTTTATATAGAAAATCCTAGAAAATTCACCAAATATATATTAGAACTAATAAATGACTTCAGCAATGTTGCAGGACACAAGGTCAATATACAGAAATCTATTGTATTTCTATACAGTAGCAATGAGCAAACCAAAACTGAAATTAAGAAATCAATTCTTTTTACAATAGCATCAAAAGAGTTAAATACTTAAAAAATTGAACCCAGTAATTGCGAACTGCTACTCTGAAAACTACAAATCGTTGTTGAAAGAAAAATGTTCTATACAAAAAACATTCCATGTTCATAAATTGGAAAACAGTATTTTTAATGTGATAATAGTACACAAATCGATCTATATATTTCACACAATCCTCATCAGAATTCCAGCTGTCTTCTTTGTAGAAACTGACAAACTGATTTGCCTCTCTCTCTCTTGCATTACTCTTAGCTTATTTTCCCAGTAATGATAAGAATAATTTTGTTCTGATTGGTTTAAAGCTAAGGACAGATCTCTCTGTGTACTGAACATAGACCCTTTGTGTCATACCAGTAGCTGTTAGCTTTGGTGCATAGAGGGTTATTTCCGAACCCCTTCTGTGATGGGCTAAACAAATAAAGTAACAGATGTATTTTAACATATAACTTATATTAAGAAATAATAGCAATCCTTATTGCTATTACAAGAATAAACCCTAAAACAAGGGTTTCTTTGTTTTTCAGCTTTGCCAAATTGTCAAAGTTGCTTTGAACTGAATGAAGGGTCTGCATCAAAGTATTAAACATCATAAATTAGCTTGTTTCTTCCACCGAGGCAGGGGCTCTGTTTTATTCACTTTACAGAGTTTGTAAAACTGTTTTATTTCTAAGTGGTTTTTAAAAGGTGCTCCTTTTTGTTCTCTTAAAATCATTATTTCTGATGCTTGTCTTAATTTTTTAATTGTTCATTTACACCCCGTGCAAAGCAAAGGAATATCAAACGCTTTGCCCTAGGAGAGGGAGGCAATTCAACTGCAAAATTGTTCATCATACCTTGGGTTTAATGGGGGAAATCTTAATAACTACTTTAATATCCTTAATAGGTAAACTCCTAAATAAAATTCCAGTTTTACACAATGATTGTTTCAGGAGAAAACTGAATAGCCATGGATGTTTTAGATGTTGCAAGATACTGAAAAACAAATCATGGCAAAATATGCTCAGTATAATTCTATAATTGGTTTTAAATGCTTATGGATGGATAGTAGCAGCCTGTATAAAAAAAAATCTAAAGTGGTTTTGATCTATATTTTAATATACTAGATCTCTGTCTTTAAAAATGTTTATAAAATGAAATAATAGAAAAATTGGTAAGCTTTTTTAGCTTAACAAAACTTAAAAAATACTTTGATCAATTTAAGAAGATGGGATGTGATACATGCACTTTTCTACATGTTTATATCCACCACTGTAGTGGATATAAACTAGTGGATACAAAGACCAAGAAAAATATTTAACATGTTCATGTCTATTATTCTGTAATTCCACTAGTAAGGAATAAAAAACAGTAAAATATACCTAGACATTCAGGTAAAAAGTTGTTCATCATAGAATTGATCTTACAAGGGAAAAAAATCAGAATCTTTTAAAACATAGCCCCAAAGGATACTTGGTTGCAGAAATCATAGCTTATCCCAATGACAGAATATATGTAACAACAGAATTGCAGGACAATATTTAATGATTTACAGAGATGATCCCGGATAATTGTAATAGTGAAACACCCTCTAACGAAACAATGCATATTGTGTTATAAAGGTAGGTAGATACCTATTATTGAAAATTTATTTTGTCAAGTAGTGGTATTAGGAGGGGTATTAGGATTTCAACTTTCTTTTCTTACATTAGCAATTTTAAAAAATAGTTTCTATTATAATTTTGTACAATTTGTATAAAAATAAATGTATAACATAAATAAAAACAAAAAGTTCCTATGTCCCTGAGAAAATACTGGTGAATTGCAGAAACAAATGTAATAGCAAGTGCAGAAAATCATCCAGGTATCTGGGTCCTGTAACAACACTGATGCACCTCATGAAGATGAACTTGTACTATAATTACAGATGGCCACTGAATAACACGTTCTTCTTCCCCTCCAAAAAACATTCAAACTGCCCATATACTTTGACACATGAATTCTACTTTTAGCAATGACTCATCAGGAAATAATCTTGAAAGTCAGCATGCTTTGTGCACTAGGAACTTCAAGGCAGCTTTAGATTACATAAAGGAAAAACAGAAACAACCTAGATGTTCAACAATGAGAAAAGAGTTAAAATAAAACATACATAAGACACACAAACACACAGAGATATAGACATAGATACATATGTACACATATATATCTAACCTTCTACCTAGTCATGAATTCAATAGAATATTAAGAGCCAGAGAAAATATTTTAAAAGCATCTTTAATGACATGAAATGAAGTTCAAGAGTATGCGTATGTATAAATACACACATTTACGTGTGAAAAGCAGATATAAAAACGGTCTGTACACCATAATATACATATATGATATATGCATAAGAAAAAAACTAGACCTACGGACAAAAATGTTTCAGGTAGTTCTTGAAAATCTCAGAGAGGTGTGCACGAAAATGTTTCTGGAATGTGTGTGTAATCATCAGAAATGATTACTGGTGACTTTAATTTTCTTCTGGTGACTTGTCTGCTTTGTGATTTTTTTTTTTTCCTGCAATGACGCTGAATTACTTTTCTGACAACAGGGAAAAGGACAGCAATTGGGCACAGGGCATGGGGTCATAAGCAGTGCTTCATTCCAGCAAAACCACCGAGGACAGCGAAATACCCTCTGCAGCCTGCCAAGCTGGCCAAGACACACACACACACACATGCGCGCACACACACACACACAGGCACACACGCATACATGCACACACACATACCATCAATTACGGTGACCAAGAGACTATGCAGGGGAAACGGGCATACTCTTTACTAGCTGCGCTGGCCGGCACGAGTGCAAATCGGTACAATGCTTATGAAGAGGGCCTTTTGGCAACACACAGGAAAAGTCTTTAAAATGTCTCTATGTGGATCTTGCAAGTCCACAGTTAAGGAGACCACCGCACCGGGATGCTGGCAAAGATTTGGCTTGACAAGGAAGGATTCACTCATCAAAGCACAGAGCACGCAATGTTGGTCTTAAATACAGGGAAAGAACTAGGCACCACCTGAATGTCCAACAATGTGGGAATGATTACAGAAATGTTAAGGTCCACGGATACACTGGAGCACTCTGCAGGCACTGAAGATGACGTTTCATAAGCCTGTTGATAACATGGAAAGAAGTTCAATGGGTTGATTTTTGTTTGGTTTTAGTTGCTGAAAAGCAGGTTAAGAAACACCACATACATGAACCATTCTATAACAGTGTGTTAAAAGGGAAGGCGGGGTGGGGGTGAGCAAAGGAGAGAGAGGGAGAGAAGAGAGCCTGGAAAAGCAGCACACCAAAAAGGTAAAAGTGGTTCTCTCTGGGGAGTGGGACCAGGGGAGCAATTACTCTCTTGTTTCTTCCCTCATCTAACATCCTTCTCCTTTCTGATGTTTCTACCATGAAATGGTATCACCTGTGCAGTAAACAAAGAGAGAATGAAAATGCTTTTTAAACCAAACCACAGGGAGGAGAGGCAGCCTTTAACCTACAAATGGCACAGATTAGTAAGATTATTCACAACGCCCTTGGTAGGGGTGGGCGGGGGAGAGGAAGGGAAAGAGAGGAGAGGTGGCGAGAGAAAATAGGAAGGGGGGAGCAGAGAGGGGGAGAGAGAGAGAGACCTGCACTCCCAATACAATAAATACACTGCTGGTGGGTTGGCGGGGGAGGGCTGGGGGTGGGGGGTTGTAAACCGGGTGTGAACCAAGGTTTGGCTCTGCTGGCTGGCTAGCTCCTGGGATGTCTTCATCGCAAGGTGGCCTCCTCGTCGGTGTCTTCCTCGAAATCCTTGACGTCAGCACTAGTGGACTGCCTGGCCCAGGCTCCCCTTTCGGCCTCTCGTTCTTTATGCGACTTGAATCTCCCGACGAAAATTTTGCGGTAGTTCAGGAACATGCCATTCATCACGTCGATGGCCCGCTCCGCGGATTCCTGCTTTTGGAAGTGCACGAACCCGTAGCCCTTGGGCCCCTTTTCGTCACAGGCCACTTTGCAGGAAAGGATGTTGCCGAACGCCGAGAAGATGTTGTACAGCGCCTTGTTGTCGATGGTCTTGCCCAGGTTCTTGATGAAGACGTTGCCCACCCCGCTCTTGCGGAGCGACGGGTCCCTCTGGGACCACATGATGCGCACTGGCCTGCCCTTTATGACATCAAAGTTCAGGGTCTCCAGGGCCCGCTTGGCGTCCACCGGTTGCTGGTAGTTGACATATGCGTAGCCCAATGAGCGGCGGGTGATCTTGTCCCTGCAGATGCGGATGGAGAGGATGGGCCCAGCTGGACTGAATTTCTCGTACAGCATTGCCTCGGTCACCTCAGGGTGCAGGTCGCCCACGTACAGGGAGGCCATCGGAAAATCTGGGTTCCCCTCACAGCCCCCGCGGGTCTCAGCATCCGCGTCTGCATCGGCGGCGGCCGCCGCAGACGCCACAGC